GAACTAGCTACGTGTATGTGCCTGATCGAGTTTTATATTATCATAATATCAGAAGATATGCAAGTTTAAGTTAAAGCAAATTATCATTGATAAGATGTATCAATTTTGATTTATAGAATCAAGTCTTAGAATCAAGTTATATTAGCATAACATCAGATAAACAAATGAAAATGATAAACTAAAAGCAAACTATCAAGTTTGTATTATAATAATATCAAATAAGCAAATTTGTACTATGTATTTTAGGAAAGAAAATGTTGTTTTTATTTCTTTAATATCAATAAAAACTTTTAAAATCACGCTTTCATCTTCGCTGAGGACTCTGCACACGCCACAGCGCTCTTAATAAAGAYGATAAAAACTTTTCATACACGATTGTCTTTCTCAAGCATCGCAGCACTTACTTTTGATAAAAATCGCTAGTACAGTATAAGAAGCCTCGCCGGAACAGTGAAATCTATTTGCGAATCTGTCAATGATAATAGTTATGTATTGTACGTGGCACAATGAAGTATTGAAATTTTTTATGTGTTGTCTTGAACATAGAAATATTAATCATAGTTTAGTGATTTTTCCTCTTTCCACTCGACCGAGTACAGAAATCTAAAASGGGCATGAAACGTGTCGGTGTAGCACCCGTACATTTCTTTAGTACCAAGCGTCGTAATATTCAAAACTCATTAAAAATTCGAAAACGAACGTTATGACCATATTTAGACAATTAAGTAGATTTATCTGACCAATGAAATCTCTTCCCACATCCGATTTCTTCCAGAAGATTGCCTCAGCCACCTTTTCAAGCTTCATGATGCAAGTCTAGGAGCTCTTGTGCGAGAAGGAGACGAATTTTCCTTTTGAATTTTGACCGAGCTGATCGCTAGCAAAGACACGAGCAAAAATMTAGCAGGCATCTCTGGAAAATGCCAGCCTTCAGTTTTCTTGACAATCCTTAAATTAGAACCGAAATGATTTCTGGAAACTCTACACCTTAAATACAGTCAAAATTCTCACAAACTTTTCACGGATTTCATGGAGTTATTCTAGTTTGATTGACGGTTGTCATGAAACCATTGAGATATTTCCTCTGATTTGTCCAAAGCTGTGTTTCCAAAATATTTATAAAATTGGTAATGTGCTGGACTGTTACAAAACATCTTAGAAGTTAAAACTGATCTAAAAGCGAAATTCGTAGTTACCCTTGGAAAAGCTATGTTATGATTATAATACAAAAAATACATACAGTGCTGCAAGAAAAATTATAGTTAAAACAGTTATAAAAATAATCGTGTTTGGTGTAATAATTTGTTGTTTAAGTTAATGTACGCTCAGTGCGCGTTAGGGCTTCAAATAAAACTTCAACATTTGAATGCATCATTTTTATTTTACTAGAAAACTGCTTTTACAAAAATGTTTGATCTATTGATTATTTAATGTTCCTGTTTTTTTCCTGATTCCCTCCTCCTTCTATCGCYCCCTCAGCTTTTAYCCTTCTTTCAGAATCGCCCGACCTTGTTTGTTTGTCGCTTTGTCTTCTTCATTCAATACCATCTTGCAGGAACTTTTAACGTTAAAAAAACCTGATAGAGTACAAACACTAAAACTGTGCAACATAAATACCACTGAATACTGCTAAATTATGCGAATTCTATTGCTTTCTATTGTTTAATTAACACTATTTTGTAGTAAATAGTGTAAAGTGTTGCATATATTTAATGTTTGTACTCTAGTGTGTGTACTCGTGATGTATGTGTATAGTGATATTTTGTAAATACAGTGTTTRCCATTTCCAATGTGCATGTTGCACTGTTTGTTTTCCTGCGGATAAAAAGGAATTTCACATTATCATAATGGCATGGATTTATCATAATATATACACCTACTTGCGAAAACGCTGTCATAGAAAAAAGGACATTTGTATTTAGTAAAAAGGAATAAATTAAAAAAGACAAAAGAAGATCACTGAGGCTGAGCGCTTTCTTTTGGATTGTTTTAATTTATTCCCTTAAATGTTCTATTTTCTTTGACAGCGTTTCTGCAAGTAGGTGTATAACAATGATAGTTTATTAAGGAACTCGTTCTAACCCGTTTCTTTTGAACATGTCATTTGGTACAATAAACCGCAGTTGAGCAATTTAGGAGTATTAGAGTAAAATAGAGTGATCGCACTTAAAGCGTGCAACTGTACAAAATCTAAGTAGTATTAATTTGTGCTAAAAGTGGACCTGAAGCAAGTCTGTATTGAATACTTCATTTGTATCAATTCAATTTAATTTGTGTACCGCATGCACGATTTACTAAATACAACTAAATAGAACTATTTAGTATGTACAGTTGGCAGTTGCACGGATTAAGTGCGATCACTCTACAAACACTAAAACTGTGCAACATAAATACCCCTAAATACTGCTAATTTATGCTAATTCTATTGTTTTCTATTGTTTAAATAGCGCTATTTTGTAGTAAATAGTGCAAAGTGTTGGACGGTGTTAGTGTTATACTCTATCTCTTTTCTCATGGTCGCAATATTCCAAAATAAGTCCCCTTACGAGTCATGTCGTGGAACAAAGCATTATGGGAGTTGTAGTCCTCGCTACTAAATCGGTTTTAATTTTTCCTTAGCAAATATAGGCTTTTACAATGCTTTGTGAGCAAAATGRCGCCGCTTCACATCTCCTATTTTTTTGATCCCTGCCGTTCGTTCATTTTAATTAAGACTGACCTTAATATTCATTTAAAGGTTGCCACAATATCGGTAATGGCATGCTCTAGGTCGTGTGAGGTAATACACGTTGTAGTGGCCACAGTTAGTAATCTTGATGTAGACTTTCCACCATCTTGCGTTGTAACAGTTTTTGCCAGACCAGGAAAAGCAGACCTCACGAGAAACGGTTAGTCCACGAATCTTTGGGAGGCTACCGATCACATAACCTGAGGCGTGGGTCCCACAGTGCCATGGTTTGGTAGGTCTATTATTGAAATCAATCAATAAGGATTTAACAATATTTATTACTTTTAATATTGATTTTAAATATTGATAAATGGATCATTTAGTATCAATTATGAATAATCGATGAAGGAGTTGGTGATACTACAGGATGAATGCAGCCCAAGCTTATCGATTGTAGCTTATATGAATAACAAATATTTCCCWTTTTCTATTTATATACATATTGATGTACAAGGCTCYTCTATAAGATGTTTGTAACACATAATCACCATCATGGGCMTCYKGTGCAGGCGCGTAGCGTCYTTTACGCATATACGTACGTGCGTACTAGTGGCAGGGAAATATTAAAATTTTCACAAAAATTACTGAAAAAATGCACATAAAATTGATCCCTCGACTGAWGTCTCTCWAAACGCTGGAAATYGMATTTCCAAGAGTTATTATTTCAAAATTTCCTGGAGAGGTCCAGACTCCCTTAAAATACTCCCGCCTTTGGCGGTCGTTAGACCCCCAGATCCAAAATACATGTCGCGGTCCCTGACATGTGTGTATTAGCCAAAACGTCCACACTRCGAGCCTGCTGTGGAATATGCGTCTGAAAAATATCCGTCTACGTGTGAAAGAATTGTGAGGTCTGATAAAGCTCGCACATACTTGGTCGGCATATTAGTTCCTTGTGCACCAACGAAGCGATACCATCGCACTGGCAATTTGCTGTCACACTTCCTTGGCGCTTTTTTGTCACCATTGCTTTGCCTTCGTGTAATATCATTGATGCTCTTATACCTTTTGCATTGAAGAGGTACTAGAAATGATGAAAATACAGACAAATCATATCCATTAATTATGATAATGATAAGAATTATTATGATTACCAACTCGAAATGAAAATTAACTATGAATTAGCTATGTCTTAAATAATGATATCATCATTAAAAATAGTTATACAAAAAGTAGTAAAACACTATATGAATCATATGCGCTATTATTAACGAATCATTAATAAATCTTCATCATCCAATTCATTAATAATTCATAAGGTAAACACAGTGGAAAATCATTGCTGTGACCCATTCTTTATGGAGCAAGAGATTTATCCTGATTTCTATACGACTTTAACTTCTTCGCTTCGATTTTCGATTGAAAACAATATCTTGTGCTTAAGCTGGAATTTGATAAGAAATATAGGCGAATAATTTGTTTATATTTCGTTTCAACGTTTTAACTTAATGAAACAACATAGCACAATAAGCTTTTCTCCAAATTCGGAGCTTCTCATATGAAATACTTTTTGCGTCAAACGGTTTTTTTTTTGCCACTCAGCATCTTTGAACGCTGATATCTCATAAACTATTGCATGTTAAAACCTCAAACCTTCGTAGTTTATAGTTCTTGATAGGCCCTTTTATGTTATGAACTTATTTTACAGGGKTTTTTTTAATGTAAACTTTATGCTAATTAGAAATTTTGTAAACAAAGATCCGCCTATAAAGATCTCTACTTTAAATGTTTTATCTTTTTATACATAAATGACTTACATGGTTTTTGACCACAATGTCCGCATGTCTTACGACAGTAAAAGCGCCCAGTGTGGTGACGACATTGCTTGTACTTTGTTTTCAGCAAATGGCAGCTCCCGCGAGAAAGCCTGTCAACGCATGGTCCTAAAGATAATGGTGTTTAAGGAAGGAGTGAAGACTCTAAAGACTCAAACTAAGTTAACAATACAAAACAATGGAATTAAGCATAATTTAATAAAATATAATGGGCGCTAACAATTTACCTTTTTTCCGAGTTGAGGCTAACCCTGTATTCCCAGAAGGTCTTTAATATTGGGATACAGGGTTAGTCTCAACTCGGAGAAAATGTAAATTTTCAAAGCTATTGTAATAACGACATTTTCTCGTGCTCTCTTTTGTGTTTGGTCAGGTCTTTGCGCAAGAGAATCTGTTGTCAAATAAAGCAGCGGTCATTCGCTATGATTCGAAACTGGAGTATTGAATCGACCTCAGAAATTGTTGGATGCTGTGTGACATCATAGCACTAATATGACAAATGTTTGGACATTGATATGAAAATACTGTCAATTGACCATACTACAAGAATCAACCTCAGAAATTGTTGGGTGCTGTGTGACATCATAGCATAATATGACAAATTATTGGATGGGAACATGATGGGAATATGCATAGACAAGGTTTATACTCACGGCAAGTGCTGATACAGAAACGCGCAATTCCAGCATTTCTGCAATATCCATATTTCTTCAGAATCCTGCAACTTCTTACGGAAATTTGAGGAACTCCCCGCTTTACCTTCTCTGCTTCGTCTCTGAGTTCTAAATAAATGTTTAAAAAGCATTAATATTTTTTTAAATAAATTTTTCATGCAACATAATATTTTTTTCATTCTTACTGCAGGTTTATAAACATCATAAACGGTAGATTTAGTACTGACCTGCAGGCATGTCCTCTGGTTTYACRTCTTCTTGAGGTTCTTCGTTGTCTTCTTCGTCTTGTTCTTGTTCTTCCTGCACTTCTTGTTCTTCATTATCAAAGGAAAAAAGCATATTACTTTTTTGCAAATCGATATTGTATCGTCATTCATATCAGATATAGAACTGATGTTCAACGGACAACACAACACAACAACACAACACAACACAACACAACACAACACAACACAACACAACACAACACAACACAACACAACACAACACAACACAACACAACACAACACAACACAACACAAAATCGTACCAGGTTTATCCTCTGGTGACTCTTGTGGTTCGTCGCCAGTCGTCGAACCATTGCTACCATCACCACCTATATGATATTATAGCACATTAGTTAGTGAGCAAACAAAGTGCTTCTTTTGATTGAAACTGAATTGTTGTGATATTTATATAACGGAATTCATGATTAATCATATGCACTCATATAAGATTGTGTACATAATTAATATAGATTCAATGTGCATGCGCACATCATTGACCCTCTATATGTACATCCATATATGGAAAATGACGCTCCTTTAAAGCGGAAAAGAAGATCATTCAGGCTGAAAGAGTCGTTTTGTCTATTTAATGTACTAAAAACAAATGTTCTACTTTTCTATGACAACATTTTCGCTATTYAAGGTTGCAGGTAAACCAAAGAAAGAAAGAAAAAAAAAACGAAACGAAACAAACAACAACAAACGAAACGAAACGAAACGAAACAAAACAAAACAAAAAAACAGTTGTCACTATCTCGCGCTAGTAGTATTAGTGAAGAAAATAACTGCAACACCTTAACAGACAGGTCTCTCACACCAAGTTTTTATCTGTTTCTAACTCCAGTTCATTATGATAGTACATGATCACAGCACGGTCGACTAAACATCATTAAAAACCTATTCAAATCATTTTTTCTTTCATACACCTTTCATGGTCCATAGCACAAACAGATCTTTAATTTACTCAAGCGGCTTTGAATATAGTTCAATGCACGTAATCATATTATCATCTTTTGATTGCGAGATTCGATCTTTTTGGCCGTAGACTTTTGTTAATCAACTAGATAGATTGATTCAAAGTGTCTTACCGCCTCCTAAGTCACTTTCTTGTACAGTTGCGTCCCCTGTCGCTCCTAGTGAAGGGACGATAAAGTGTTAGACGGCATCGCCGATTGACAAAAAAAAGGACAAATACGGAAGAAAAAGGGAGTTAAAAGACACAGACTGAGTCATGAAGAAAAAGGAAAGACGAAGAAGCAAAGAGTTAAGTAGATCTGTGAAAAGAAAAGAAAAAGGTTGGATCGATCGCGATGATCTGAGCAAATGAAGAAGAACAAGAAGAACAAGAAGAACAAGAAGAACAAGAAGAACAAGAAGAACAAGAAGAACAAGAAGAACAAGAAGAACAAGAAGAACAAGAAGAACAAGAAGAACAAGAAGAACAAGAAGAACCTGGGACTAAAACCAAAGATACAGCTAAAAGAATAAAATTAATCAAAGATTGAAAAAAATGAGCAACAAACAAAAAATTCGAACAACAGTAATTCACTAATTCAATTCACACCAGTAACACTGATCTGATCTTGCTAGTCAAGATCGTTGGAAATGCACGGATTTCATTGTACAGTTTAATAACAAGAATCATACAATAGAGCACATAAAAAAACTACTAAACAATATTTTAATATAATCAAATTACTCACCATTTTCTTGAGCAAAACTTGGTAAAACCAAGGCGGTCAAAACGAGCAGGGCAATCAAATAGAGCTTCATGTTGTCTTGAGAGATGTATTCCAATCAACTCGCAGCTCGGCTATGATACTAAGATCAAACTCCACTCCTTTATATGTACTCGAGTTGCCACACGTTATGTCGTATTAAAATGGGATTATAAATAGCTTTCCATTAAGGTTTGTCACAGTTTATTGATTTTTCCTTCTTTCAAGCATCACGAAATGATTTTAGCATTCGTCCATATCAGCATTCCTGCACGGAAAACTTTAAAGAATAATTAAAATAACGCAAATATTCACAATTTTAACTATTTATTGTAAGCACTATGAAGTATGAGTATAAAATATGGACTTATTTGAGGAAAATACTTACCTTTTTCACTGCTTCAGATAGATTTCAAACTCCACTGAACCGTTTCCTTTGCATTTTCGTGACGCAAATAGCGCTTTAATTACGTAAAGCCTCGGGTCATGAATCAAGTTGTATTTAAAAACCACCTTTAACAAAATATACTAGCAATAATAATGATACTATCAATGGCAAATAAGATCAATTGCTTTTAAATAGCATGTTTTGATATATGATCATGACTCGCGTTTTCCCGGGCTCGCGATTTGAAAAAATCCTAGGGCAAAGTCACCTTGAAGGCTTATAACTGGTTCTAAGGGAAGTGTCGCAATTTGGTCTCACGCGCTTTGTTTTTGATTCTTTTTTGTGTTTTCCATTTAAACAAAAAACTTTTCTTGTCTTTGAAAACCAGATGAAACGCTATAATTCGTTTTTGAAAAATTATTTGAATGTTTGGTGTCATAAACATGTCGTAACCCTGAAGTTTAATATGCAGGAACACGTAAGGTATCACCTGAAATGATGCATAAAAAATAGTAAGTTAAAGTATAAGACGCCTTGGAATAGTAAAATCTATCTGCGAATATCTGTCAATATAATATTTATTACATAGATAGATAGATAGCTGGTTTAAAAAACATCAATTTCTAATATATTGTACAATAAATAATATGATTATAAATATAAATATAAAACTAATTATGGTTTTCAAAATTTCTGTAAATTGTCACCTCGAAAACTACAAATTACATCGTCCGTCATTGTTCACTTGACTACATATTGTAGGAATATATGAATTCTGATATCGGTTGGTTTAAATCTTAGTAAATCAAAAGTTCTCTTCCTTCGAGTGTTGTACTGTTTTACGGACCCTGATGTTTGGGGGGCAGTAGATTTCTAAGCTTGTGGCATTCATTACTTATACAGTAAACTCTCTTTGAACGACCACTCTAGTAAACGACCATCTCCCGTAAGCGACCACCTTTTAAATTTCCCGTTTTGTTCAGTTTCCCATATAACTGAACTCTGTAAAAAAACCTTTCTCGTAAGCGACCACTTTTTGGTGATCCCGAGGTGGTCGCTTACGAGAGAGTTAACTGTAATTTCATTGAATACTTTGCTGCAAAGTTCCAAACGAAGCTCAGATTGAAGTTGTTCAGATTATCTTTGTACGAGAGTTGGTTTTCTATGATGCTGAGAGCTCTTTTCTGTTCACGCTTTAGGTCGTCACTCAAGTACTTGGGAAGGCCAGTGTGATAGACGGTGGATATTATATTTTGGAGTGTTAATTTAAATCCGAGGATCCAGTAGCGGGGGGAGGGAGTATGGAGATCGCGGGGTTTCAGCCTTCCCCCCCCCCCCACCACCGCCCACAATATAAATTGGCTGTCATTTGAAAGCATTCAATATTTCCGAATAGATTCAACAAGACCTGGGACGCGGCACTATGGATGATGTCTACACAAAAAATGGACATTATGAAATCACTTCCCACTTCTGATTTCCTAAATTGCCTCAGCCACCTTTTCAAGCTTCATGGTGCAAGTCTAGGAGCTCTTGTGCGAGAACGTGAATCCAGAAAAACACTTGAAAAACGATTTTCCCTGTGAATTTTGACCAAACTGATCGCTAGCCAAAGACACGAGCAAAAATCTAACAGGCATCCTTAGAAAATCTGAGCCTTCAGTTATAATAAACAGCAGCAGTTCACAATTAAATAAGAAGTTCACAATTAAATTAGAACCGAAATGATTTTTGAAAGCTCTATACCTTACAGTCAAAATTCTCTCAGAGAAGGGCCAACAAACCTCTTCATTCTCATGGCATTTGAATAGAGTCGTTGTAGTTGTATTGATTGACGGTTGTCATGAAACCATTGAGATACTGGACTCTGATTCGTCGAAAGCTTTGTTTCCAAAATATTTCTAGAATTGGGAATGTACTGGACTGTTACAAAACATCTTAGAAGTTAAAACTGATCTAAAAGCGAAATTCGTAGTTACCCTTGGAAAAGCTATGTTATAATGATTATAATATAAAAAATACATACAGTACTGCAAGAAAAATTATAGTTAAAACAGTAAGTTATAGAAATAGTTCTGTTTGGTGTAATAATTTGTAATAAAGTCAATGCGTGCTCAGTGCGTGTTAGAGCTTCAAATAAAACTTCAACATTTGAATGCATGATTTTTATTTAACCAGAAAACTGCTTTTACAAAAATGTTTGATCTATTGATTATTTAATGTTCCTGTTTTCTTCCTGATTCCCTCCTCCTTCTATCGCTCCCTCAGCTTTTATCCTTCTTTCAGAATCGCCCGACCTTGTTTGTTTGTTTGTCGCTTTGTCTTCTTCATTCAATACCATCTTGCAGGAACTTTTAGCGTTAAAAAACCGATAGTGTGTTTACTTGTGATTAATGTGTAGTGATTATTTTGTAAATATAGTAGTGCTTGCCATTTCCAAGGTCCATGAAAGATTGATTAGTTTCTGTGGACAAGATGGAATTGCACACATTATGACAATGGCACGGATTACTTATAATAATATATAATAATAATTCTTTACTCCACGCCAGAAATGGTACATAAAATCCAAACTCGTTTTTCATGTGATTTTCTGTGTGCTATGGATCGCAATTAACGAGTAAAATTATTAATGGTCTATCACTCATACTGCGCTGTGATTGGCTACTCTACTAATGGTCTAATTTGTGATAGACCACTCGCGGGAAAATCAAAATAAATAAATTATAAATTATGAATTATTTTAAAGATATTTCAATTTGTTTTCATTATCTGACCGATTAGTATGTTTATACTAAAACAATTAGACCTCTCAGCCTCGTGGACTACGAGCTAATAGCCCATTCGGTCTCGCGGACTCGGCCTCATGGGCAATTAGCTCGTAGTCCACTCGACCTCGAGGTCTAATTGTTAATTAGAGTATTTCCAAAAAATATCCAAAAAGTAACGTCTTTTTTTTGGGGGAGACCAAGAAATATCTTTTGTCATCGTCACTATATTTCTAAATCCCCCTCCCCATTACATAACCCTTTTGTTCATAATAGGCAAATGCAGTGACGTCATTTCCTGGAGCAAAGCTTGATGGGAATTGTAGTCCTCTCTAGTAAATCTGTTTTGGTTTTTCTTAGCAAAACTAGAAGCTGTTGTGTTTCTAGAGTGATCGCACTTAAACCGTGCAACTGTACAAAATCTAAGAAGTCCTAATTTGTATTAAATTGGACCTGAAGCAAGACGGCATTGAAAGCTTCATTTATATCAATTCAATTTAATTCGCGTTCCGCATGCACGGTTTAAGCTGGTTTACTAAATACAACCAAGTAGAACTATTTAGTTTGTACAGTTGCACGGATTCAGTGCGATCACTCTATTGAATGCTTCATTCATATCAATTTAATTTAATTTGCTTACCGCACGAACGATTTTCTAAATACAACTAAATAGCACTATTTAGTTTGTACAGTTGCATGGTTTAAGTGCGATCACTCTAAAAGGAAATCATTGAGGTTTTTCAAAAGTGCTCTCTTCATGCTTTGTGACTAACAAAATGGCGCCACTTCACATCACCTATTTTCTTGATCCCTGTCGTTCATTCATTTCAATAAAACTGACCTTAATACTAACCCTTTAAAGGTTGCCACAGTATCGAAGACTGCAAGCTTTAGTTGGTCTGAGGTAATACACGTTGTAGATGCCACAGTTAGTAACATAGATAGGGAGTCTCCAAGCACATTTGTTTTTACCCCAGCTAAAACAGACTATACGAGACACAGTTTGTCCACGAATTCTTGGGAGAGCACCTGTCATCCACCCTGAGGCGTGAGTTCCACAATAATATGGTCTGGTAGGCCTATTATTCAAATAAATCAATAAAATTAATAATATTTATTATTCTTAATAAATATATATCATTTAATATTTATTATGAATTAGTAATAAATGAGTTATAGTAAGTTAAGCTTTAAGTAGAATGTCGGAAACTTTTGTCTACGAATTTTTATATGTAATAGGACTCCATGCTGTCCAATTAGGAAATAATTGGACGAGGAAAATTCCGAGGACTGCCAAAAATTGGACGAGGCCGTGGCCGAGTCCAATTTGGCAGTCAGAGGAATTTTTCGAGTCTAATTATTTCTTAATTGGACAGCATGGAGTCTTATTACCTATTAATTATATAGCCACATATTGATCCCAAATAGGTAAAAGCCAACCACAGCTTTTAACAAAAACCCAATTGAAAACCTGTCCAATTAATTTCTTAATTGGACAGGATTCCAAAATTAACGAAAAATCCAGCTTTTACCTATTTTGGATTAATATGTGGCTATATAATTACTCTATTAAATCACCCACAGCAGTTCATTATCCACACATTCTCTTGCCTCGACCAGCGACTTCGCCTTTGTTTACACCTCAAGTAAGTTTTATTGTCACGCAGTGATGCTGACCGAGTGCTTCATTCAATTTTATCCGCCGCCCGCTATGATTTTCTTATAAAAAGCGTGAATCTAGATTGTTCGAACATGTGATAGCAACCGCGGGGTTGGTGACGGGATTCTGAACTTCTGTTAAAGGGCTACTTGGACAAAAATTCCGAAACATTAGAAAAGACTCTGGAAATCAAATAGACCTATCCATATAGGTCTAATTGATGAAGCAACAGATTTCAACAAGATATTGACACAAATCCTTAATAATTTCGGCAAAATTTTTTGGAGTAGATGACGTCCTTTTGATATTCCATCTTTTGAATCAAAATTTGATATGGGATGATTCCAAAACAAATATTTCCCGCAATTGCTTTTAATAGATATAAATCAGTCATATATTTGTGTTGCTTGAAGTTTTGAAATAAGGGCATTTTCATGCAAAAAGCACTTTAACAGTGATTTTGTGAAGCAATTTAAAAACTCATGCTCTCGTCCTTGATGCGCATTGTATTTTAAAACACTAGAATCCTTTCGATTCCTCTTTTTGAAATAATTCACAATAAAGAATATCAATGATCAATTTTATGTGTAAAGGCACATACAAATAGGCACAGGCAGCCCAACCTATTGTTTATAAATAACTGTTATTGACTTTTTCTATTGATGGGCACATATTGATGTGGAGTACAAACACTAAAACTGTGCAACATAAATACCACTAAATACTGCTAAATTATGCTAATTCTATTGTTTTCTATTGTTTAATTAACACTATTTTGTAGTAAATAGTGGAAAGTGTTGCACACATTTAATGTTTGTATTCTACGATGCTCCTGTATTAGATGTTTGTAAAGCACAATTAATCACCTGCATGGGCCGCCTGTGGAATACGTGGTTGAAAAATGTTTGGCTACGTGCGTGAAAGAAGCGTGTAGGTCGAAAAATCTTGTACAAACCTGGTCGGGAGATTTTTTCCTTGTGCACCGAAACGATACCATCGCTGTGGCAAACGGTTGTCACAGCGTATAATTTTGTTATTTGTATAGCTTTGCCTTCGTGTAGCATCACTGAGTCGAGCATACCTTCTGCACTGAACAGGTACTATACAGATATAATGTTATCCATTAATTATGATATTGATGATAATGATTATGCTTACTATATCTCGAAATAAAGATTGCGTTGGATAACTTTAACACTATTATTATATCTTATTAATAGAGTAGAGTGATCGCACTGTGCAACTGTACAAACTAAACAGTTCTATTTAGTTGTATTTAGTAAATCGTGCATGCGTTACGCAAATTAAATTGAATTGATACAAATGAAGCATTCAATACCGTCTTGCTTCAGGTCCACTTTTAGTACAAATTAGTACTACTTAGATTTTGTACAGTTGCACGCTTTAAATGCGATCACTCTACAAACACTAAAACTATGCAACATAAATACCACTAAATACTGCTAAATTATGCTAATTCTATTGTTTTCTACTGTTTAATTAACACTATTTTGTAGTAAATAGTGGAAAGTGTTGCACACATTTAATATTTGTACTCTAATACAGCACTTATGCTCATTTTGACTCAAATTCCAAGTATATATAAAATATATCAGTTTTTTTTTGAAGTTGCCTAGCATTAATATTTTCTGAAAATATTGGCGATGATATCCCATAATTTCTGACGTATTTCATATATACTTGAAATATACGCAAAAAGATCATAATTTCTGCATATTTCTGTATTATTTAAAATATTTATTATTGGTATAAGACATATTTATAAAAAACTTTAGTAATGATGTTTAACGGTATACAGTTAACTCTCTCTGAACGACCACTCTAGTAAACGACCATCTCCCGTAAGCGACCACCTTTTAAATTTCCCGTTTTGTTCAGTTTCCCATATAACTGGGTGATTTGAGAAAATGCGACTAGCCAATCAGCGCAAAGCCGACAAGCTTATGTTGTAAACATAACCCCCCGACGGGAGGAATTGGCACAGCAAAACTCGACCCAGTGGAGTAGGCTGCCTGCCATTTTATTCTATCCGAAAAATTGAAGCTAAAACGCAAAGAGAAATTGAAAATCTTTATAAAATAGCTTTTAAATGTCAATCAAATATTTATCGTTATAGAAATAGAACTTTATCTTAAAATGAAATAACAAAATTTTTTTTCTTTAATACCAAGAGACTCTCCTCCCTGATAAAAATAATTGGTCTGTGTTCTACGCGGGTTCTCCATTGCATGCGAAGCAATGGCCGACTTCACGAAGACCATCTCTCGCAAGCGACCACGTTTTGGTGATGCCGAGGTGGTCGCTTACATGAGAGTTGACTGTATGTATAATATGCACGTCTAAAAAAATACTTTTTTTCTTTCTTTTTAACAAAAATATAGTTGTTCTAGTCATGGTTATTTTTATCAGTACAGTCAATATTACTCTGTTTTCTTTTTTACTTGAATAGCAGTGTCGGACTGAGGATCGCAGGCTCGATTCTCGACTCGAGCACTTCTAAACCATTTTTTTTCGTTCGTTCTTTCTTTCTTTTTAACTAAAATATATTTGTTCTAGTCATGTTTATTTTTTCCGGTTAATATTTGTTCTTATTATTTGTTATCATATTGAATCATTCGAATAGCGGAGTCGAACTTCTAAATAATTCTTTTTTGACTGCTCCCTGCAACCTTCAAAACGATTTTTTCGTTTTTTTCAATTTTTTTCGGAAATAGCTGAACTCACAGTCTAGTAAGAGCTTCTTATTCAAATATGCAAAATTTCTTGAGACTTTAAATAAATTGACCTAAAAGGTCATGTAATTAACACCGATAATTCAAAAAATTTTTAATGCAATGTTAAAAAGAAAAGAACCCACTTAAAGTATACTTATCGAAGTGTTTTGTACATGAACCAACTTACTAGTCAGAAGAATCTCCAAAAAGTTATTTTTAGGCCAACGTTTTAAAAGAATCCTTGCATTGACTGATAAAATCAAACGTGGTAGACAAAATGTCGCTAAGTGATATCATACGTTTTTAATTCAAATTGTTGACCTCTCAGGCCAAGAAAACAAATACTTAAAAAAATAAAAGATGCCTATAAAATAATCAAAGTCGCCTTTTTGCTATTGATAAACAAAGTTTCTTCTTGTTCTAATTTGAAATCTTTGCCCACACAAGACTGTCTAACACTAGAAAGTTAATAAATTCAGTTTTGTAAGCATACTACTCGAAGCTCCATGCGATCCGCACATGCACGTACTTCTGATGCCTAGACTGATGCATTCCGATGAGATCACAGATACCACATTTGTAAACGAATAGTTTTTTTATCACATAAAAGCGCAAGTAGCATCTAACATTTACTAACGATATTTGTACATCTATACGTTTGAGCGTCCGGTCATGTAATAACACAGCCAACCCAATAGTTAATTATTAAATTCTTAACTTACGGTGGTCCAAACGCGACATGATAGATAGATAGATTGGCTAAGAGGTAAAACTCAAGTCGACCTAGCCTTCGGCTAGTCCGAATAATTAGCAGTTTTGTAAACAAAGATCCGCCTATAAAGGTCTCCAGTTATGTTTTATGTTTTCATACATAAATGGCTTACATGGTTTTTGACCGCAATGTCCGCATGTCCTACGACAGTAAAAGCGCCCAGTGTGGTGACGACATTGCCTGTACTTTATTTTCAGCAACTGACAGCTCCTGCGAGAAAGCCTGTCAACGCATGGTCCTAAAATATTCATATAGATATTAAACATTTTGTAGATAATGGTGTGAAAGAGTGAAGATTGGGTGCCACAACCAAGGAACTGGCACTAGGAGGAATGAAGACTGACAGCCAGGTAATACAAGCAAGGGACTGGCACTAATTTAGAATAACCACGACAGTACAAGCGCCAAGAGTGTAAAATACTTTGCATAATTAGTGCTAACTAAATTAACAATGGAATTAGCATAATTTAGCATAATATAATGGGAATTTATGTTCAGCACTAAATGCTTTTAATATTAAAGTGTTATCTTATTTTAACTATGTATACTTATACTACGAGAAAGGCACAAAATTATTTATAAACTACGAGTACATCATCAGGACTGAATAAATTAACCCAAAATGGAGAAATATTATGTTAAGATCTTAAGCGAAGCGACTAGCCATCCCTAGACAAGCATTTGTATATAAATAGTTAAGCGCCGTTTACACGAGCAAGTTTCCCTTGACAAGTTTTCCTTGACAAGGAAAAATTGCTCGTGTAAATGGGGTAAAATTGACAATTTTTGGAAAAGGAAAATGTGGCAAAGAAAAATTGTCAAGTAAAACTTGCTGACCATTCACATGGGCAATTTTTCCTTGTCAAGGAAAACTTGTTCTTCGTTTACGCGAGCAAAGAAACATTGTCAAGGAGGAATTGCCAAGGAAAACTTGTTGAGCATTTACACAGACAATTTTTCCTTGTCAGGAAACTTGTCAAGGCAAAATTCAGCTCGTGTAAACGGCGCTTTACCATCTAAATCTGCATCCTCATGGGATAAATTTTAAACATACATTTCTCCATTTTAGGTTATTAGGTCCTGATGACGAACTCGCATTTATAAATAATTTTGTGTCTTTCTATTAATATGATTATTTTTTTCTTTTCTTAATTTTTATTTTTATTCTTAATATTCTTATTCTTATCATAGCCATTTATATATGCAAATAAATTGTGCTGATACTGTGTTGCATTGTGGCTAGTTAAGGAGCGCCAATGCAGTATGGGATAGGAGGCCTCTTTTACCAAGCGTTTTGAATAGACCTATATCTCAAAACCAGTTGAGCTGACATAATGATATTGTTAATACTCCATTTTCGAATTCAAAGCGAATAACCGCTCTTTTATTTGACAACAGATTTTCTTATGCAAAGACCTTACCAAACACAAAAGAAAGCACGAGAAAATGTTGTTAATACAATAGCGCTAACAATTTACATTTTCCCGAGTTTTGGCTAACCCTGTATTCCCAGAAGGCTCATACCTTAGRTCTTATGGGAATAYASRGTTAGTCTCAACTCAGGGAAAATGCAAATTTTCAAGGCTATTGTAATAACGACATTTTCTCGTGTTCTCTTTTGTGTTTTGTCAGGTCTTTGCGCAAAAGAATCTGTCGTCAAATAAAGCAGTGTTCATTCGCTATGAATACGCCGATTTCGAGTTCTGGTTTGCTCTGTGTTAGCCTCATAACCAAGCAACATATTCTTTTGTTTTATTGATAGCCCGAGAAAACGCATGGAATTTGAAAAGAAAGACAATGGAATTGATTTGAAATCTCACACTTTTATTCTCACAATTAGGAATATTTTGCGCACAAATGAGGCTAACACAGAGAATTGGAGAATTCGAAACTGGAGTATTGACCATACTACAAGAATCGACCTCAGAAATTGTTGGATGCTGTGTGACATCATAACACTAATATGACAAATTATTGGATGGGAATATAATGGGAATATGCATAGAATCAACAAGGTTTATACTCACGGCAAGTGCTGATACAGAAACGCGCAATTCCAGCATTTCTACAATATCCATATTTATTCAGAATCCTGCAACTTCTTACGGAAATTTGAGGAACTCCCCGCTTTACCTTCTCTGCTTCGTCTTTGAGTTCTAAATAAATGTTTAAAAAGCATTAATATTTTGTTAAATCAATTTTTCATGCAACATAATATTTTTTTTCATTCTTACTGCAGGTTTTAAAATCATAAACGGTAGATTTAGTACTGACCTGCAGGCATGTCCTCTGGTTTTACGTCTTCTTGAGGTTCTTCGTTGTCTTCTTCGTCTTGTTCTTGTTCTTCCTGCACTTCTTGTTCTTCATTATCAAAGGAAAAAAGCATATTACTTTTTCGCAAATCGATGTTGTATCGTCATTCATATCAGACATAAAATTGATGTTCAAATTCTGCACTGCACTTACACAACACTAAACGAAACGAAACGAAACGAAGCGAAACTGATGAAATAAAATAAAATCGTACCAGGACTATCCTCTGGTGACTCTTGCGGTTCGTCACCAGTTGTCGAGCCATCACCACCCATATGATATTATAGCACATTAGATAGTGAGCAAACAAAGTGCTCTTTTGATTTGACCTGAAGTTTTGTGGTATTTATTTAACGTCATTCATTAAAAACCACGTGCACTCATATAAGATTATGTATAAAATTAATAAAGATTCAATGTTTTCACATCATATTGACTCTGTATATGTACATCCATATATGGAAAATGACGCTCCTTCAAAGCGGAAAAGAAAATCAATCAGGTTGAAAGCTTCGTTTTGCCGTTTATTCAATGTATCACTTTTTACTTACATATGTTCTACTTTTCTAGCTCCAGTTCGTTATAATAGTACATGATCACAGCACGGTCGACTAAACATCATTAAAAACCTATTCAAATCATTTTTTCTTTCACACACCTTTCATGGTCCATAGCACAAACAGATCTTTAATTTACTCAAGCGGCTTTGAATATAGTTCAATGCACGTAATCATATTATCATCTTTTGATTGCGAGATTCGATCTTTTTGGCCGTAGRCTTTTGTTAACTAATAACTAGATAGATTGATTCMAAGTGTCTTACCGCCTTCTAAGTCAGTTTCTTGTACAGTTGCGTCCCTTCTCGCTCCTAGTGGAGGGAAGATAAAGTGTTAGACGGCATTGCCGATCGACAAAAAAAAAGGAAAAATACGGAAGAAAGGTGGAGTTAAAAGACACAGACTGAGTCATGAAGAAAAAGGAAAGACGAAGAAGCAAAGAAGCGATAATCTGAGCAAATGAAGAAGGAACTCGATGAAGAACAAGAAGAACAAGAAGAACAAGAACAAGAACAAGAAGAACAAGAAGAACAAGAACAAGAACAAGAAGAACAAGAAGAACAAGAACAAGAACAAGAAGAACAAGAAGAACAAGAACAAGAACAAGAAGAACAAGAAGAACAAGAACAAGAACAAGAAGAACAAGAAGAACAAGAACAAGAACAAGAAGAACAAGAAGAACAAGAACAAGAAC